TAAGATAATAAAAGAGAAAAAGAATAGTAAAAAAAAGTAAAAAAAAAAATAAAAAAAATAAAAGTATATAAAAACAGACTGGAAGTATTTATATAAGGTTGTGTGGAAGTAGTTATATGTAAGATGGCAGTTTAGAAGTATCTTTATTTTGAAAGCTTTTGCATAGTTTAGTTTCTGGCTATTGTAGCCATGTGAGACTTTTTGGTTGTTGTTTAAATATAGCCAGGTTGTTTGCCAGTCAATTTCGTCTACAAAATTTGACTATTCAAGATTACGTTTTTGTGAGGACCACATAGCAATAGTTTGTGCTCTGCATATATTCTTGATAAAGTGTCTACTATAGCTTTCTACTGGATACTTTTCTCAGATAAGAGTAAAGAATGGATTATACATATTAGTATGAGCTAAAAGAAGTATGTGAGGCTAAGAGTGGAGTATTGCTAGTGAATTAGCATAGATATTAAATTTGTCAACTGAGTGTGCTATGACTTTGTGAAGCTGGAGTTAGATTTTGTAAGATTTAATAAAGCCTATAATAGTATGCCAAATAGGCCAGTAATTACATTTAGTGTACTTGAGTGAGAATGGAGAGGTTTGACATAGACTGTTGTATTTTGATATAACTGATTGAGAGTTAGTGAATATGTTTACTGTAGCATCTCTTGGAGCTGTTGAGATTGCTAACAGAATTGCTATAAGTTCTGCTTTGTATAAGGAGGGCCAGCTTTTAATTTCTGCTGAGAATTCTTGCATTGGTTGGTCATTTTGGACTTGAACCCAGCCTATACCCATTGAGTATTGATCTGTGTCTAGTCCTATCACAGACCTATCAGTGTAGAAAGTAAGATCATTAGAGGAGATGTTGTAGAGTGCAAGTTGAGTAAGCTTTTGGGATGTCTCACTATTTTGAAAAATCTGCATAGTAGGTAGGTCAAAGATAGTAATAGAAGGAGGTGGGGGACACTAAACTAATACTATGGAATATATATATATATATATAAATAACAATTCACTATTCATAATCTTAAAACTTTCAACTAATAACTATTAAATAATTATACTTTATAGACGTGACTTCAAGTATTAGTTGGTCATGACAGTTGTGTGTGGGTGTAGGGCACATAACATATAGTTTTTGAATCATATAAAAAAAATTGTTTAAAAAATGATTTACCGTAAAGTCCTGAATATAAGCAACCCCCTAAGCCACCCATTTTAGCCAAATTTTTTCAGAGGGTTGCTTAAATTTGGGACTTTAAAATACTCAATTTTTATTGGTCAATCTATCTTATATATAAATGACCAACTTTGTAGTACAGTACAGTCAATTACAATTTTTCTTTTAAAATCCATTATGCAAGTGAAATAAATAACAAATAACATTGGTCTTTGTTACCAACATAAAATTGAATTATAAGAATGAGCGCAATTCAAATTTTTTGGTTTAATTTTATGCTATTCACTGAATATAAATGATATACGTACATATAAATGTATATATGTATTTTTTTTTAGCGTTGCACTACGCTTTATACACACTTTATTTTTCTAAATCCGGATTTTTTTTTTTGTACACATCATTTTCACGAGTTCATAAAAAAAAAAAGTGTAAAACATTAAAACCAAACAAAAAAAAACAAAAAAAAACAAAGTATAGAACAACACAGATCCAAACGAAAAAAAAATGAAAAAAAATGAAAAAAATGAATACTATCAGTAATAACAAGCCAGTTAAAGTTAGAAGACGTGTCCAAAGAACTTCATATAAGGTATCAGAAAAACTTACTGTTATTCAAGAAGCAAAGCAAATTGGTGTTTTGGCTGCTTCACGTTACTTTGGTATTGATCAGTCTATAGTGTCACAATGGAAAAATAGTGAAGAAAAATTTAATAATGTTATATCTAGTAACTGACGTATTGGTGCTGGGAGAGCTTTATTTTACCTAGCTGCTGAAGAAGAGCTTATTAAATAGTTTAATGAATTTTGTAGAATGGGAATTGCAGTAACAGCAGGTTTAGTTAAAATGCAAATGCTCACGATTTTATCAACAACCTGTGCAGATAAATATCTGGGTGCTTCTCAACATTTCTGTGCATCCAAATCTTAGTTTTATTGGTTTTTAAAGCGACACCAACTTTCTTTTCGCCGTCGTACTAAAATTAGCCAAAAGTTGCCTGAAGATTTTACTGAAAAAATCACCGAATTTCATAAATTAATAATTCGATCTCGATCAAGATATCAGTATAATCTTTCCCAAATCATAAATATAGACAAAGCACTAGTTTATTTTAACATGACAAGTTTATATACAATTAATGAAAAAGGCGCCAAAACGGTTCAAATTAGAACAACTGGAAACGACAAAAACCAGTTTATCTGTGTTTTGGAAATTACAGCAAGTAGAAACAAACTACCTTCGATGGTAATTTTTAAAGGTGTGCGAATTCCTTCTAATCTTCCTCATGTGATTATTTTACATATGCACAAAAGTGCCTAGATGAACGAAAATTTGATGTGTGAATGGGTTGACCAAGTTTTGAACAAACGACCTGGAGTATTGACTATAAACAAACCTTTGTTATTGCTTGTAATGGATTCATTTGAAGGGCATCATACTGATATGGTAAAACATAAATGTGCTGTTAATAATATCCATAAAGCTATTATTCCCAGGGGCTTAATATCAATTGTACAATCTTTGGATATAAGCATTAATAAACCGTTTCTAAAAGAAAAATAACATTTGTGGATGAGTAATGGCGAATTTCAGTTAACTAAGAAAGAAAATTTAAAAAGACCATCCTATAGTTTAATTTGTCAATAGATTTTAGAAGCGTGAGATGATATTTCTACAGAAATGATTATTAAATCATTTAAAAAGTGTGGTATTTCTAATGAATTAAATAGGACAGAAGACGATTTATTATATGATTCAGATAAAGAGAATAGTGAAATTGATAATAATAAAGATTTGACTGAGATAGTTGAAGATAGTTTGTCTGCTAATGAATTAGAAGAATAATTTTTTTTGTATAATGAATTTGAATAGGAAATTAATAAAGTTTAACATAAATTTGAATAAAAAATTAATAGTTTATAATAAATTTTATATATGTTTAGCAATTTTTTAAAAAGGGTTGCTTATTTTATTTTCTTAGTATTTTGGTCTCAAAATTTGGGGGTTGCTTATTTTCAGGGTTGCCTATATTCGGGACTTTATGGTCAAAAAAAATAGTGTGGCTATAGGTGGCAGTACGATTATAATAATCTACAAAATAATACACAATAAAAAATATATATAATTCAAACTTCTTGAAGCTCTAAACTTTCAACTTATAATACTATTTTACTTACACTAAACTAATACTATGAAAAAAATATATATATATAAATAATAATTCACTATTCATAATCTTTAAAACTTCAATCTTATCTCCTACAAGCTATAAAATATATTTCTAAAAAACTTCTAATTCCAACAATCAATACAGATCTCTTTTTGTCAAATTTTCAAATATTCAAAATTTCTGAATCAAATATTCAAATACCTGAAATCTCTAAGTCAAATTTCCAAATCTCTGAAATCTCTGAGCCAAACTTTCAAATACCTGAAATCCCTGATTCACTTTTCCTTTTTTCTTAAACTTTATTTATTAAATTTTTAAATATATAAAATCTCTTATTTATATTTTCTTTCTTTTTAAATTTTTCTTTTCTTTTTTTTATATCAAAACACTACTACTACTTTTATTAACAATATTATCCACTTTATTTTAAATTTTATTAAACTTTTAAAATTTTGCAAATCTTTCACATATCAACCAATTTTATTACTATCATATATTTGATTAACAACTTAAACTTCACTCAAATTTTACTAAGACTTGATATATTTGAAAAAACAAAATTTTACAAACCTTTCTATCTTATACAATATTTTCAACCTCTCTAATTTCTATTATTTTCTTCTTTTACACAAAATTTGTTTATTATTCTAAGTCTACACTTATACTTGGACTTTTCTTCGATCAAATAATGCTTTTCTTGCTCTTTTTGAAGGGTGTTAGCAAATATTCTTTGGGTTAAATCTTGTAAACAAACTTCTAATTCTTCCAACCTTTTTCTTAAACCTCTTGTTTCATTTTGCAATCTATAAAATACAATTTCTATTACTTAATACACTATTTACTTACTTTTACAAATACCAAACCCATAACTAAAACTATACCTTTGTTCTACAGTAAAGCCCATACCGTAAAACTAATAAAGATAATGGTCTCAAAGTTTTTTCTTAAAAGTATTCTCAGTAACTTCAATAATCTCTCTTGGAACTTCCTCAAATTGAACATATCACTTATAAAACCTCTTCAAATTACTTTGTGTATAACGTTATTTACCCATCTTTTAAAAACTATTATCAAACTCAAAATCCAAACTTTAATTTAAATCGAACAAATTCACATGTAGTGTAATATCACACATCTTATAAATTAACTAATATATAAACATGGTTAATTCTAAATTTCTTAATCTAGAATAAAATCTTCAAAAAACCTGCATTTTTGTTTTTTATTGTATTCATACCCGTAGTATAGTAGTTAGAGCATTGCATACCCTATGAGCCACATGTTCGACTCCACTAGTAGTATGCTAAATCTGGTGCACCATGAAAGCATTATTGACTACATTATCCAGTGCTGTTTTTATATACTTTTATTTTTTTTATTTTTTTTTTTACTTTTTTTTACTATTCTTTTTCTCTTTTATTATCTTA